ATGTTTAGAATGCACTACCCACGTGGTGTCATGCCATTGGACGTGCGTGGAATTCTAGACAAAATTGGGGGGTGTGGGGCTGACGAAAGAGAAAGAAATTGGAAATCGTCAAAATAACCTTTGATATTAGGCATTGACTTGCGCTGCCCTTCACACTACCCGACTACGGTAAACTATTTTGACCAAAATTACTTTTGGGTTGAAAAGAAAAAAAAAAAAAGAGGGCTTTCGTAGGTCCTTTTTCTTAAAAAAGTTTTGGAAAAAATTTATTTAAAAATTCATCTCCTTAATTATTTACATTTAAAAAATAATTATTTATATAAATTATATAAATTAAATATTAAAATATTTTAATAAATAAAAAATTTGAATTAAAAAATTATAAATATGAAATTAATTTAAAAATTAATACACTTGTAACTTACATTAATAAAACATTTAATCTAATGATTAATTTTTAAAAATATAAATTAAAATATGAATTTTCAAAAAAAAATTTTAGAAAATTTTAAGAAAATAATCTATGCTACACTAATTTATTTTAAAAGAACAAAAATGTCAAACTTTTATTTGTGAGTGATTTATTAATTTGTTTTTATTTTTTATAAAGTCAAAAAAATTATAAAATATTAATAAAATTAATAATATAAAAAATTAATTAAGCTTATATATTGATATTTTTATATAAAGTGCTATATAAAAAAATTATAAAATATTAACAAGAAAAGCCTAAAAATGATAATGAAGATTTTATTTTTATTTAATCCAGATAAAAAGAAGATTTATTGAGTAATATTTAACAATTTTACACGAACTAGTTAATGGTTATTTTTTTATTAAAAATAAAAAATTTTAAATTCAAATAGAATAATATAAGTGAAGTGAAATAAGATAATTGTCCCTATATTCAACCAAGATAAACGAAAAAAAACAATTTCACAAAGAGGAGCTCTAATATTCACAGGTGTTTACTATTCATCATTTTTTTTCATTTTATTTAACTACTACTTTCCATGAGAATATGAGATTCTCTCCTAATCTCCATATTATTTAAAGTTATTTTCTGACGCGGCAGAATTTTCTTTTTAATCTTTTTTTT